GTCACTAATGAACTCTGCCCTCTTACCTGCTGATGATTCTCTTATGTACGAAAAAAAACCTGTACCTAATTCATGATTTTCATTCCCCTTTCCATAGAAAAATGTATATTCGCCAGGTGGTTCGGTGCCACCCCCGTCCCATCTGACCTTCTGTACTCCCACTTAATCTGGCTTATACGGATTTTGATTCTTCCACAACTGTCATGAGTGAACCTGCTCTGTACAGACTTCTTGCATTCCACGTACCAAATCTCATGTCCATTTTCATTATATGAGGTCCCTTGTTGACAGAGTCCTTCCAAGTCCGAGATCCTTTGTGACATTTCATTATTTTTTTATTGCGTGTAGTCCTCCAAGCTGGAGGTCCACCCCTTGTTGGCTGGCCGCGACTGCTTATTCATTATATCTGCAGTTACCCTCCATATCTAGAGGCCGTCTCCTCCATCCGCAACCTGAGGACGCGCCATGCCATGGTAACAAGAGACCCACATAACATGGTTGTTAAGTAACCATGTCAATAAATGAAGAATTGAATTGAAAGAATTAGACTGAACTGTGATTATTCAGGAATTTAACACTTATTGAATCTTGCATTTTATTGTCCATATTACAACATTACAGGTTTGAGAATAGTATAGGTTACAGAAGAGTAATGTGTATTGGTTTTATCGGTTTACAGCTTTTTGAATTGCGCCACTCCATATTTTAATTCAGTCGTAAAGACTGTATATTGAATTTATTGACATTAAAATTGTCTTACTTAGCTATAAATTGGAATAGGAAGTTTCATCTCAGTTTAAAACCTTTTAGATTATTTTGATATTACAAAAGATTTCACGCGTTGCAGTATATGCTACGTTTATGGTCATTACCAAGAGTGTCGTTTCTTTCATCCTAACAACTGAAATGCCCCCCCCTTCCCCCCCCCAAATAAAAATAGCAGTGGACCGAGTTCCGGATCCATATTCATTAGAATATGTTAAATTAATGTTATACTGCCAATAAATTATTACTGCGATATATCGATACCTCGAACATATGTATATCGAATATGTATCTGATATCGTATGATATCGATATGATGCTCATCTGACATCCCTTTTTTTTAATGTTTGCCTTTTGACAGTTTCTGCTTTTACTGCCGTTTTGTGTGTATATTTGTGTCAAAGAAAGAGTTGGCTGCTTACAGTTATCACCACATTCTTATTAAACAGTGCTTGGCTTTAAACGTTGAACTCACAATCAACAGACATACCTCACAGGCGGAGAATTATATGTGTTTTGCTTATTCCGAATGCCGTGGCACGCCGCGAAGAGTTCATCTCGTGTACGTGTACGATCCATCATCAATTGTTGGCTAATGGGACAAAGAATGTAGGCCGAGATAAATGTGCTGCGCGCTGTTTCACGCCCACGGGTAGACAACAGATTTAAGTGCGTGTAAACTAATTGCGTTAAGATAACGCTGGTCAAGGCAGTTGTTACACAAATCAAGCTCCTTCTGCACTGCCAATGCAGCTCCATCAGGGTCCTTCTTCAGATCCTAATTGTCACTCCGCTGATCAAGAAATTCCCCTCCTGTTATGAAATCTCAAAGTTGATCACTGTGTCCACAGGAGTCCGCCTCCTATCACTTTCTCTTAAGCCAGTTGAATCCGTTCGATATCCACAGTCCCTATTTGTTTTTATTTAACGACACTGTTAGTAAAGCTGGCTGTATAGCATGGTATGATTGCATAATAGTGAATAATGGATTAGAAAGGAAGCGAAAGAATGGTGTTGTGGCCTATTTTAAAGTATTCCCTCGGCATGTGCTTGGAGGGACCGAGGAAATCCACGAAAGGTCTCAGTCAGGACAATCGGTGTCCCTTCCGAGATTCGGAAGCTGATTCTTCCGAATGAATATAAGAACCGTTACTGCATAACCCAGGAGCCGGGATAGCGAGTGGCTATGGGCTGGACGATCGAAGGGTCGGAGTTCGAGTTCCGGTAGGGTCAAGAATTTTCACTTCTCCAATCGTCCAGACCGTCTCTGGGATCCACCGAACCTCTTATTCAATAGGTACCGGGGGCTCTTTCCCTGGGGTAAAGCGGCCGGAGCGTGAAGTTGGCCACAAATCCAACTAGTGCCAAAGTCAAGAAAATATCTGTGGATCTGTGCATCCACTCACCTATACGTTTTCATATCATAGCGCTTAACTAGTTAAGCACAGGGATAATTTTACCTTTTTCTAACCTCATCTTACTGCATGACCCAACCTACTCGATGTTAGAGTACGCCTAGGGCCTCAAGCCCGCTCATTGCTTCAAGTTCCGACCAAACTTCCATATGCATTTTTTACCTCTTCAGTGTGTGTTGTCATGTGCACGTACCCCAATTTCATGGCGAATTTAGAGTGTCGTTCCCCGAAAGAAGACGTGGCAAGAAATTGGTTACTTTCGACTTATTTCACAAGTGGAATATTAACGTTTTTTTTCCAGGTAAAATACCGAGCGTACTTAGCCGATACAGCCCAGACTCTAAGTTCCCCATGCGCTTAAGCACGTCCCATAAGCGCGCATCCCATGTGACGTTAATTCTTTATGCATTCTAGACATCGATATGAAATTCATATGAGTGGTCAGCTTCATGCTCCGGCCACTTTGCTTCCGGCTGGCTGATCTAGATGGAGTATTTACGTGTTGACAAAGATAAATGTTCTGCACCTCTCAGGAACGGAACCCAGGCAATTCATCCCGTGACTGCAGAGAATCGGTTGGAAGTTACTCGGTGGATACGCGGTAACGTAGTTTGTTGAGGCACTATGTTACAAGCCGGAAAGTCACGGGTTCGAGTCCCGATGAGATGTTTTTTTTCTTCCAATTTACCTAATCCTTCCAGCCGCACTATGGCCCTGGGGTTGACTCAGCCTCTAACAGAAATGAGTACCAGAAATCTTACTGGGGGTAAAGGGTGAGCGGCGCATAAGGCTGACAACGGCATCACCACCTGTGAGCCGATTATCTAGAGAGCCACTGTGCCTCACAACCCTGTGGGCCTTCACGGCCTGTTTCAAGAAGAGCTTTACCCTTTTTTTAGGAGGCGTATGAGATGACCTTGCTATCTGTGCGACTTGTGTATTCTCCCATATCACTGCTAGGCAACGGCTCTATAAACACGTTCCTGCTGCAAGGAATACGCGGTGCTTTTATGCGGTCCGTGTTGTAAGCGATTAGTTCTTCCCAGAACTTGTTTGTTTAATGATGTGACTGACGGGGTGCTGAGGCCGAGGACAGGGAGTTTTGGGGTCGGTAACACCACTCCGAAATGGAAAGGACCCTTGGAAGGCTTCTGTCAGATTATTTCATATGCCCTCATACTTAATTTTCAGTTGCGAATGTTCAGTGTGTGTGTTTATGGCGTCTATCAGATTTTAATACTGCATAAAGACGTTGATTTTTCTATTGTCATGTAGTGTAATGCTGTTGAAAATTCAATGGAAATTTTGAGACCCTTTTTTTTTATCTTTATTTACTTTCCTCCTTTTCGCCTTTCATTTTCCGCACCTTCTGTTTGTCCGTTCCATCATCCCTTTCCTCCTTCCATCGTCTTAAATTATTTAAATATCACACAAAACTTACAGTTACAAAAGTAGATCAGTGACGGGTGTATAGCCTGTGGAGCGTACTACGTTATTTCAACGATTTACCCGACGTGCACGTCCTGTGTGATCACACGCAAACTATATGACATTAGCTTGCATAATTGCGAGACGTGTGAAAGTATGCACGTCTGAATGATGAGTCCAGGCCATCTGTCCGACACTGAGTGTAACTACATCCACTTTGAGAGCAGAAGGAACAGCAAACCGGAATTTGTACAGTAAAATACTATATAATGCGAGAGAGATACGAGTATGTCCACTGAGTTTTCGGATAACCCACTGGTATTCAGAAAAGATTAATCAGTGATATAAGATGTAAGGAATGGTGAAAGCTGGACAGAGTTGGAGAGTCTTACATTTATTTCGTTCTCTAAAAGAGGCACTGCCGGTCACGGTAGCCGAGCGGTCTAAGGCATGTACTGTCTTCGCTCGCTTGGAAACCGGGATCGTGGGCTCGAATGCCACTAAGGGCATGGATGTTTAGTTTGTGTGTGTGCATTTTTCTGTGTTTGCCTTGGGACGAGCTGATCACCCGCCCAAGGAGTCCTACCGAATGTGTAAGATCTAGAAAAACCGAAGTGAACGGAGAAGTTCATGGAGGTAGGCCTAGGCCCTCTTGGGCTGTAGTGCCAAGAAAAAAAAAAAGAGGCATAAATGACGCTAATTGTGATATTGACAGTGGATGATATCCCATGTTGAACCGTAGTCATGCCACTCCCTGTCTCCAGCCCAGACTTTGGAACAGAATGTATCAAATTTCTCGTGCCTGTAAGGTCGAAGACATTTGCCTGATCAAACAGTGGGATCGTGGGTTCGAATCCCGCTTGAGGCATGGATGTATGTCTGCGTTTATTTTGTGTTTATGCTGTTCCGTGTGCAGTAGCGGCCTTACGACTGGCTGATCTCCCATCAAAGGGGTTCTACTGACTGTAAAATGGTCGAGAAACTTAAAAAAAAAAGCGGCTAAGGCCCAACAAAGGGCTGTAGAGCCAGAGATAGGTAGGTAGGTGGGTAGGTGGATTACAGAGAAAATGTGTAGTGAAACATTCCCTTAATTAAATTGAATGTCTCTTGCTGCTGAGGCACCTATCCCAGCGTTAAATATCCCGTATACTAACTGCATGCGTGCTACATGTTCATCCCATCCCATTGACAGATTTAGTTTGCATAATGACGGCTGGGTTATTATTCGACGAACATCGACATGTTCTTACGTCCTTTAACCGGGCCTCCGTTGCTGTCCTTCTGAACATTAGTACACGTATCATGATCATAATTCTGCATTACATCCGCTTGATAATTAAGCACTTCACATTATCTGTCTAGTAATGGACATTTTTTTATCTTTGATTACAGATTTCCAACAGCACAACACGGCAGACGTAGGAGAATATAAGATGACGACCCGATTCAAAGGTAATTAGCTCAATTCATGCACTAATGATGTAAAGCTGACATGCATATGAGTTATTACTCCATGTGGTGGGGAAAGCGTGAGTACTGTGCCACTGGATACAGGGAATGCAAATGTGTGGTTCATCCCTTGCCCACTCTTTAGCTGAATTATTTCACGTTTTGAGGCAGTTTCTCTGTGGTTCTGTAATTGAAACAGTAGAGGAATGAAGTACATTAACCCTTAGGATATTATGAGTGTATAATGAAGAAGTTCGTGATTTCTTCTGGTCTCTTGGTATTGTTAGGTTAATTAAATAAGAATAGACAGGATATGAAATAGGAGGTTGTATACAGATCGAAAATGAATATGAAATTTAGGCGGGGGAATGGCTACTTTAGGAAGGATAACATCGAGGTGAGATTTTGAAGGCGGTGAAAATGTAGGTCGTTATCTTCAGGGTTATGACACCGTGTAGTCTGGTAGGTGATTACCAGTGGTGCTACCGCCTTAAAGGTAGAAGCAACGTTAAAGCTTCTGAACACTGGTGAAATCTACAGGCCACACGTGTCGTAACCCAGAATATTGTTACATGTACATCCATTGCTAGGCAACGTATTGGTGAACAAGTTCCCGCGGAGACAGACTCTTGGTAAATAGCCCGTTGCTAGGTTACGCAACAATATATTAGGCTGTTTTTTATATGCGGTCTGCGCCAAGCAGCAGTAGAATAACGGGGCTGTGCAATCCGTTTCTAAGCAACGGCTCGGTAAACACACTTCCGCGTAAGCAGTGACGTCAAAAACAATAGAGACGCTGTTTTCCGTGGTGTCTGTGCAGAAGGCTTATAAGAGAAATGAACGCAGTGACAGAATTAACCCCGTGTGGGGGCGGGGTCGAATACCTCCACCGTGAACTGCAAGTCGTAGGAGGCGACTAAAAGTGAAGTCTCAAATCTGAGACAGGGACTCGGACCTCGGACCCGAGAAAGACTGCTCTTTCAAGGGCCATCAGCGTATGTAAAAGACAGACCCGTCCTATCGTCAGAGAGGGCGCCCCACAAAAACAAGACCGTAACTGTCAAACAGTAATAAATACGAGTATCTGGTCTGGGGCTCGACACCAAAACTTACTGACTGACTGACTGACTGACTGACTGACTGACTGACTGACTGACCGTCAGTCGCAATGTGAATTTGAATTTGACTTGACAGAATAGAGTAAGCTGGAGGAGTGAGTCCAGAAGAGGTTCCAGAGTGATTGAAGACGAAATAGGGAGAAGACTTCATAATGATTTGAATTTCTAGTTCCTGTTTTGAGAGCCGTTGCAAGGAGAACTCTAGTGACGACGGACAGGCCTAGTGAATGTGCAACGGTGAATTCGAAATTGTGTAAGTCAGCGATAGCGCTATATTTAAGTACGATTAAGAGAACTTGTAACCAAGGTGATAATAAATCCAATTATCCAAACTGTAATCCGTTATTTTCGTCACGCGTACCACCCTACACGTGACAATATTAAGCGCGAATTCTGGGGGAATGAATCGTGGTGATGGGAAGTAGATGAACTGACTCGGGTTCTTGTCTAATTGCGGTTTAGCGGTGTTGAAACTTCGGGTTCAGCTACCAGATCGTTAATTGCTTAGCTAGTCAGTTCTTTAACTAGCAATTACTGAAGTTTTACTGAGCTCCAAAAGCCTGAAACATTCCTCGAATATCCAGTTCGCCCCTGGTAATTTCAGACCTTGACACATGTTACCACATACCATGTGACGATTAACACTTCTGCTTCTTATTTCTTTTGGATATCCTAGGTTCGATTCTCGGCCCGAAGGCTCATGCTCTTTTGCAGTTCAAGGCAAGTACTAGGATATTTTGAAACAGGCCACCGCCTCTTTCTTTTATAGGTCTGTATTTCTTGGTTCGTAATTCAAATACATCCTCCCAGACGTTGGTATAACACATGAGCTGGAAGAGGGGCTGTTAAGTAGTCTCAGAAACACGGAAACATAAACCAGAGTAGTGAGACAAAATTGGGCTGCAATTAGTGTTTCAGGGGAAAGTTTCAAAAAGGAGACTAAAGTGAAGGGTACCCATTCATAGCGGTCGCAAGAAGGGCTTTTCTTTAGGACAAATTGCATCACATTCTTCATACACAAAATTGTGCATGGTAGTCTTTTATACAATGTCCACGTTTTGAAAATATAAAAATGTAAATGTTAATAGTTCTAGGGCATGTAGGCCTACTGTCTTCGCTCGCTTGGAAACCGGGATCGTGGGTTCGAACCCCCTCAGGGCATGGATGTTTAGTTTGTGTGTGCGCGTTTTTCTGTGTTTGTGTACATGTAGAGGCCCTGCGACGAGCTGATCACCCGCCCAAGGAGTCCTACTGAATGTGTAAGATCTAGAAAAACCCAAGTGAACGGAGAAGTTCATGGAGGTAGGCCAAGGCGCACTGGGGCTGTAGTGCCAAGGGAAAAAAATGTTAATAGTGGCGATCACAGTGGCCGCGCGGTCTAAGGCTTGAACTGTCTTCGCTCGCTTAAACGCTGTGAGCGTGGGTTCGAATCCCACTCAGGGCGTGGATGTTTGTGTTCTGTGTGTAGGTAGCGGCCTTGCGACGGGCTGATCCCCCGTCCAAGAAGCCCTGCCGACTGTGTATAGATTAAGAAACTGAGAAAGCGCCCGAGGTCCAACAAAAGGGCTGTAGAGCCACAGATAGACAAATCTTAATTGTGGTCCCCATGTACATAAGCCCCACTCCGTGAAGCCGGGTGGGACGAGTGGAAACTGAGCTTCTCACTCTATAATGAAGTCGCGATTTAATGATCCCTAGTCCCACCGGCTGGTGGAGCAGCAACCGCCAACCCTGGCCGAAGAATATAGGGCTGTTGTCATATCTTCATTTCAACACCAACCGTCGAAGCTTGCAAATGTAGCCAGCATGTCTGTGGGAAATTCCGTCTCCCGTGGTAACGAGGGTGCAACATCGTCAGTTAACGACGTCATTAGAGAGCTTCATTAATTTCATTCATCAATGGTTTTACAGCCCTTTCTTGGCCCCTGGCGGGTTGTTCATTTTCGTCTTTTTTTTTTTTTACACAGAAGGTAGAACACCTTGGACGAGTGATCATCCCGTCGCAAGGCCGCTACCTACACACAGGACAATACAAACACAGAATAAACGTACACAGACATCCATGCATTGAATGGATTTGGAACCCACGATCCCAGCGTCCGAGGAAGCGAAGACAGTTCATGCCTTAGACCGCGCGGCCACCGTGATCGGTCCATTAGAAAGTTAACTAGATACATTTTTCAACATACTTCCTGTATTCATACACGGTGGCATAGTCAGCACTTTTCTACCGTAAGATTGCCTACGCAAGGTTTGACGTAGAGCAGATGGACTTCAGTTGAACAGAGCTCGCACATAAACCGTAGGAGTAGAGCTGGAAGAGCGCCTAGCCAAGTGGAAACAGGCACCACTGACGTCACTGTCGGCCACTGCTGTATCGAGGCGTCGAAAGCTGAACGTTCATACAAGGGTTCATTAAATTGCACTCTGACTGTGGGCACTAGGTGGAAGTCGTCAGTCACATTGACACTCCCGCCGCTTTAACCTTGTGGAAGTGTACGTCACTGATGCTATGAAGGTGTACTCATATAAACGTGGAGGTAAAACTCCATACATTATTAATCGCAGCTCCTTGCTCTCCGGAGGAAGCTCTCTCGGCGTATGAAAACACTTTTCGATTTGGTGAATATTTAATGAGATCAACTTGTTGCTCTAAACCTCGCTTGCATTTTCTGTGGCTTCTCAGACAGGAGGAGAATGGCCTGTTTACATGGACGCTACTCGACCTTAATGCTGAAGGTAATGCAGGCCACCCACTGTTACTTTATGTAATCATTAAATTAACACTTTAACGGAAATTGGGGAGTGGACAGACTTTTACAAATGGAGTCATGTTTTATTGCTGGCAGGGAGAATATATGTTTTTTTCCTCCATAGCGTCCAAACCGGCTCTGGGCCCCACCCAGCATCCTATCCAGTGAGTGTTGAGAGCTCTTTCCTCGGGAACAAAGCGGTCGTGGCGTGAAGCTGACTGTTCTCCTTAAGAATATGTGTGTCCCTCTGTTCTCCCTACGTCTTCATGGCATGATGCTTAATTCAGCACAGTACTCTTCTCCAAGTATAATTAGAATCAAGTCAAGGAGTGGGCAGGGCATGTAGCACGAATGGGGGAGACGAGGAATGCATATAGGATATTTGTGGAAAAGATAGAAATAAAGAGACCACTGGGAAGACCAAGGCGTAGATGGATGGACAATATTAAAATGGATCTTAGAGAGATAGGATGGGATGGTATGGATTAGATTGATCCGGCTCAGGATAAGGACCAGTGGAGGGCTCTATGTGAACACGGTAATGAACCTTCGGGTTCCATAAAATGCTGGGAAGTTCTTGAGTAGCTGCAAAATTGGCAGTTCCTCAAGAATGGCTTAGCTCCATGAGTAAGTAAGAAAATTTCACCTTTACCTTCATCTCGTCATACAGGCCTGACCTGTGAAGAAGTTCCCTCCACCACAGTCACTTCGCAATATCGTACTCTTACATATGAATGATCTAGAAATTCCAGCCCTCCATACAATATCAGATAATCCCATTTCATTGTCTTTACGTCGCGTAATTTGTAGGCTTGCACTGCCATTCGTGCTTCCCATTTAACTGTCTAGCAATGGAAGCTGGGACAGCGCAGACTGGCTGCGTTCTAAACGGCTGAGGTGTCGAAGTTGGAGTCCAGGTAGGGGTAGAATTTCTCATTTCTTCACATCTTCCAAGCCTGTTCTGGGGCCCAGTGGGTACCGGGGGCTCTTTCGCCAGGGCTTGAAACTGACCACTCACCTCCAACTAGTGCCGAGGCCAAAAATACGTGGAACTCTACACCTACTCCCCAATACGTCTTCTTTGTTTATTGCCTAATTAGTTGCGCAGAGGGACAGCTTTAACGTTTACGAA